TAATACAAACATTTATAAACATACACTGCTAAATGTGGGTTTGGAAGGTTTTTTGTTGTTTTTGAAGGAAATCTCTTATGCTCAACAAGGCTGCATTTATTTGATCAAAAATACAGTAAAAAGTAAGATTAAACCATTAGTTTAATTTAGAAATATTAAATATTGTAAAATTTTAATTTATATAAATAAAAATATAAATAATAGCTGTAAGTTATAATAAGTATAATACTAAGTAGTTGTGAAGCTTAATATTTTTGTGGTAACAGTGATACATTTATAAGGATTCTCTGATTAACAAAGTTTGAATGAACAGCATTAATTTGATATATAAATGGCTTTATTGTCACGTTTGATCAATTTAACATTCTTGCTGTATATATTATTATTATTTTTTTTTTTGGAGTCGCACCACATGACATTTTACAACATAAACTAACCTTGCATGTTAATAAAAAATTTCAATTAGCTGTTCTTTTCAAAGAATTAGTGACCTGGACAAAGAGTCACAAGGGTCTGCAGGGGTCTTTACAATATTATTGTATTCAAGTTTTGGTACGTACGAACTGCATTTTTGAATAAATTAATAGACCTGCATGGCATTGACCCTTACATCAAACTCTTCCAAATCTGCCTCTGAAGAATGTGTCACTGTGAATAGCAGTGTGGATACAGTAGCGATAACTCTGATGTTGCAAGACTTAACACTGAACATTGATCAAAGCATGTAAAGTACAAAAAGGGAAGCATATCATGACTGGCTAGATGCAGCACGTACAGGGTTAATCATTAAAGAAATGTCCTCACCGGCATTTGCAACAATCTCTAAGCACTGGTGATGTCCATATTGTGCAGCAACAAATAATGGTGTGATCCCATAGTCATCAACTGCCTCCAGAGAGCACATGCTCACCAGGTACCTCACAATCTCTGTATGGCCCTGGAAATGGTTTTACAAATATTTATTTCATCACCTTTTTAATAGAAGCCTTTGATAACTGCCTTAGATGTAGGATTTAAAAACTTGATTAAATTAGAATAAGCAAAATGGCCTTGGGTTTTCATCATTTGAAGCTTAATTAAACATTTAGAAGTATAACATTTATTTAAATGTATACCTCTTTCAAAGTAGTAATCATGTGATTGTTGTGATGTGTTTTTTTCCTGATGACAACTAGCTGATAAGCATTTACGCTTAAAAGTGAGTAAGAAGAGCTGCAGAACATTTTAAGGCATGTGAATGTAGTATGTGTGCAATTTTTGATGTTTTCAGAACATCAATCTTAAATCAGAGTTGTAGATTAAAGCTATAACCTTGTAAACAGCTTGATGGAGACAAGACCAGCCTGACACAGAGTAAGTCCCATTGACTTCTGCCCTATTTTCAACCAGCAGCTCCACCACATCTTTGTACCCACTATCTACAGCTAGGAACAAAAAATGAGACAAATATATAATAAGATGTGTATAAAAATACACATGGTTAACATGATATGAGATTGTGATCCTAGGTACTTTGAGTTTACCTGCAAAGAGGGGACCGGAGAATTCATTGGTCGTCCTGTTAATGTCCGCAGCACCTTTGATAAGCCACTTCACTGCCCAGAGGTGTCCATTCCTCGCAGCAAAATAAAGAGGAGTCTCTGAGTTATGCGTCAAAGTGTTGATGTAGTCTTCGCAATTGACTGAAGTGAACAGGGACATACAACGAATGAATTGCACATTAGAGAAAAAGATACAGTCATGTGCTGTATCTTAAACAGTTTTATAATTACTAAACATACTAATGTGTCAAAAGAGCTCTGATTATTGGTCTTACAGGTGATCTTTAATAGTTCACCCAAAAATGATATTCTGTCATCATTCACTCATCCTCCTTTCATTAAAAACTGTACTGATTTTATTTAGCGATTGTTTCTTCTGTGAAAACAAAATACATTTGATCATTATTTTAAACACGTCTCTGTAGTTTTTATTCCTTTTAACTACAGTTTTAGTTATTGTAGTACTTCAAATGAAATTAAACCGAAATGAGAAATGCTGCATTGGCAACTAGATGAAATAAACTTATTTTAAGTGTTTATTATTTTATTGCAGTTCATCTTTATTTTATTTCAAGTTACAAAATTGTTTTCAAATGGTTTTGGTTAACGAGAATAATAATAATGAGGGGGGGAAAAATCACTTGTCTGTCCCATTTTCATTTGTTACACACAAAACTATCCTAGAATATGATAAATGCTAAACGGTGCCCAAGTGGTAAAGATAAACGTTCTTGCTTAATGATATCTGTTGTTGAGATTGATGGACCCAGTCCCCATTCATTTATAATTAAATGAGCAATGGAAAAGAGCAGCGTGAACGTTTTGCCAAGTATGCCCTTTTGTGCTTTACTTAAATAAAGTCGCGTGGGTTTGGAACGACATGAGGTTGCGTAAATGCCAGAATTTGCATTTCTATGTGAACTGTCCGTTCCTTGTCTAAACGGTTCACTCTATCACTCTATGTGATGTTCCACGCGTTCAAAGCAGCTAAACCCCCACCGGCTGCAGTGAGGAGAAGCCGCACACACTCCGCTGTACACACATGAAAAAGTGACGACGGAATTCGCATTATTCTATTCGTTTTAGGATAAGATACATTTAGTGGGCATTTCCGGCGATGCTGTTTTCTGATTGGCTGATGTATGTGCAATGTTTCGTTCCGTCCATAAACAAATAAGAGGAAATAAACATAACAACAACAACGCCATCATAAAAACAAGCCCAGTATTTTGTTTGACATATTTTCAGCTGATCCACCCGCTAGACGGAAACCATGTCATCATAAGGAGATATTATTCAATAACTAACAGCATCTAGCTTAGTCATTTTTGTTCAGCATTCTTCATTCAGATCTTTAATGAGATATAATTACATAACGCAAGACAGCCATATATACAACACACGTGATATAAAGCATTGCTTGTCTATTGAACAAGCAGGGTTCCCACGGTCAGCAAACGTAAAAATATCATTTTAATATTATTCATGAAAATACGTATTATATAACTAAATAAAATGTTTAAATGCAATTTTATTTATGCTCAGCTCTACAGATGTAACTTCCTTTACATAAAAAAAACGATTATATCCGTAGGTTTCATCAGACTGTCTTCGCTACTACAGTTATTACTGCAAATATCCTGCAAATTACTACAGTAATGTATTAATATGGATGGTTATCATGGTATATTTATTTATTCTTTTTTAAGGGTTTATTTTTAAAGCCGGTGACCTGGCTTTTATTTTGAAAAATAATCTCTACTAGTACCCTGTTCATTCAACTAATGCCGTGCGGCTTTTAACGTTGATATTGATTGGATTTTGAGCGAAAGCATATATAAACACTAACGCGCAGTGTGTATGGCAGCCTGTAAATCAAAAGGCAACGGATATGAGACTTGATGCCAGATATTTTAATCGGCTAGATCGGAATCTGCCCTTGGCAAGTAACGTTCTGACTTTCTTTTGGATTCTTTAGCATACTAATTACTGTGTTGTGTCCACAGTCTATGGTCCACACCTATGCCAACGCTGTCAACATACCTAACCAAACTCGGCGGCGGCGCACGAGCCCTAAAAAAAGCCGTCCATCGCTATATGAGTGAAGTATGTGTTCAGACACGCAGTGAGCTGTCAGCAGGAAGCATGTGGGTTTTTGGTTACGGATCTTTGATTTGGAAAGTTGACTTTCCATACGAGGAGAAACGAGTGGGTTTCGTCAAAGGTTTCAGTCGCAGATTCTGGCAGGGAAGTACGGATCATCGCGGGGTGCCTGGAAAGGTATGGACCCAAGAGTTTATGAACAGCAGGTGCCCAGTCATAGTGACCTTTCAGTACGATTAACACTTCTACAAATTCTATTGCAGCCTGGGCGAGTGGTGACATTAATAGAGGACCCTGAGGTAATGACTGTCAACCTGTTAAATACTGCTCGATTTATACGATTCAAACCTATACAAAGCCGATATATGGCACATTACATTCCTCGAATGCGGTAAAAAAAAAAAGTGTTCTCCCCACATGGAAGGAACTTTTTTTTTTTTACTTTATATATTTTTTTGATAAACTATTATCTAGTATAAATGACTACTACATTTATAATTACCTAGCATAAAATTAATATAAATTATAATGATACAATTTATTAAAATGATATTTTATATTAAAAGTTAATATTGAAACTAAACCGTTAATTATATAACAGAACATTGAATGAAATGGAGCTAGTTTTAAACATCACATTTCTGAATCCCACCTTAAAATGATGATTATGCAGTATTTTATAGTGTCAATATATTTTTTTATAATTCACAATATATATATTTTTTTAAATAAATTATTATCTAACAATTAACCTTGCATGAAAGGTTATATATTTATGAGTTTTGAACATAATGTCTGTATCCAGCTTTATCATGGTGACGCAGTGTAGTGTCTATTTATTTTTTATTCCACTTCAAAATAGTTTTTTCATAATTTTAATAAACTATTATTATCAAACATAATTAACATAGCATGCAATTAAGCTAGTTTGAAACAAATCAAATGTCTGTATATCCCACCTTAAATGGTGAATACACAGTATTATTTATTTATACGATTACTTTTAATTCACTTTAATATTTGTAATTGTATTCAATTTAATTCACTTTAATATTTTTGTACTTTTAAAATGAATTATTTTATTTTGACCTTCTGAGTCAGCATCTGACTGTTTATTTAATGGGGACAATGACACACATACCACAATAACGTCACAGTACTCAGACTTGCGTCCTCATGTGATGATAAATAACGAGGGCTCAGCCCGAATATATTCTTCATCAAATTACCGATGCGTCGAGCAACCATCGCCAACACAACGAGGTGCCTGTCGCATCAGATTACTGTGGAGGTTTAACTTGAAAAGATGCTGGCGTGCCAAAAATTTCACTTAACCAAGAATCACTTGCTGCTAGGCTGTAAAATGTTTACTGAAAACAAAATGCTAAAAAGATGAAAAATCTTAAATCTTAAGGTTTCAAATTCTAAACGTAACTGATTCAGTCATTGGACTACCTTCACATGCTCAGATCACTGAGAACCTCTCCAGAGAGCATCATGGGGGCTTTGGAGTTGGATTTATGGGGCGATCCATAGGCATTCTGTCTTTCGTCACACACTTCATGTCAACACACAGAATTATAGAGGAAAAAAATCTATCTGTACAATAATATTACAGACTGCAGGCCGTACATTCCTGCACTGGTAAACCTTAAATATTAAGTATAGTTGAAATGCAAAAACATGGGCTAGATATATACATACAAACAGTACGTACAGAGTATATGTCTAGGTCGTTAAATCACTCATCTTGTGTCTCCTTTGTGCCTATACGTGCCTCCTGCCCTCCTCTCATCGTGTGTGTGCTCGTGGTTTAGTGGGCTCCTGGGTCTGGGTTCGAGAGGTTCTGCTGTAGATGCGGAGATCCTGAGCATCTGTGTCCTCCCATCTCACCCTCATGAATGCATAAGATATTTTATTTGAATATAAAATAAAAACAACTAAACTAAACTAAAACCTGCAGCAACATTGTCACAATCTGAAAAGAAAGAGATACAGGTCACGGTCATGCATTTAAGCAGTTTTTATAGACTAAACAGATTTCATTTATGAGTTGCAATGGGTGCCGTCAGAATGAGAGTTCAAACAGCAAATAAAAGCAGCACAAAAATCAGCTGTTTGCACTCTTTTTCTGACGGCACCCATTCTCTGCAAGTAATGTAATGCTAAACTCATCTAGATTTTGAATGGCCTGCAACTGAGTACATTTTCAGCAAATTTTAAATTTTTGGATGAGCTGTTCCTTTAAACAAGTGTCTTTGTAACGTACCAGTCTATGCATAGTAGCAGGGTGACACGAGAAGGTCTGTGAGCACCACGAGCTGGTCGTCTGTGAACTGCTGCTTGTGCTCCAGCCAGTTGTCGTGATGAGTACGGCGGAAATTAGACAGAGTCTTTTTCACGGTCATCTAAATCAGACAGAGAGAGGCTTGTATTGATTTTTGTTAGATTTAATGGGCCCTAAGAGCGAAGAGCACAAGAGGGAGACAGAAAGCAATTGTGTTTGTTGTGATGTGACCGGTGTACCTCAATAGGCTGCGTGTCGTTGAGGTGTGCGCTGAGGTCCATGAGGAGCTGGGGCATCCAGGTTGGGACATCATATGGGCTGGATAAGATGCAAGCACTGAGTCCCAGCACTCCGGCATGACGCCGTACCAGATCTGAGGACAGACAAACATGGGTTTAGTACATCAAAATGATTGTTCTTTTTTTTTTTTCTCAATAAAAGTATCTGAATATCCCTTTAAATTAAAAAAAATCTTTATTTTTTCATCAAAATGATTGATCTTTTTCTCAATAAAAGTATCTGAATATCCCTTTAAATTAAAAAAAAATCTTTATTTTTTAATAAACAGATTTAGTTTATTTTCGTGTACTTGTTTTACATTTTATTTTAATAAAATTGTATTTGTTTTCTAGTAAATAATATAAATAAAAGTATTTAAAACAAGATATTTAGAAGATTTACTAGAAAACAAAACGATTTCAAAAACAGTGATTTAAGTCATTTTTCTCTGAATATCCCTATAAATGTAAAGAAATCATTATTTTTAATAAACAGATTTAGTTTATTTTTGTGTACTTATTTTAAATTTTATTTTAATTAAATATAAATAAAAACATTTTTAAAAAGACAAATATGATTCTTAAGGCATTTTGTCTTTTAAAATGGAATACAAATAAAATGAAAAAAATATATTAAAGAAAATGCAAGATTTTCTCTAATCCACAGGGATATTCAGATACTTCAGGAAAAAAAAGAAAAGGAATCTGATTTATTTTGTTTTAAGGATATTTAAAAGATTTACTAGAAAACAAAATTTTCAAAAATAGTGTTTTAATTTATTCCTAAAATAATGTTGTTTTCCAGTAAAATTTCTAAATATCCTTAAAACAAGATAAATTCACCAGAGCAGTCCAAAAAAAAAAACTACACTTGTAATTTATCTTGAACATAATTGCATTGGGCCTGAGTTTTGCTTATCAGGTGAATGTATCATGCCTTAATGATATTTAAAATGTTTTATTCAAAAAAGAAAATATGCACATAAAACACTAGAGCTATTTTTATTATTTTATTTACAGGCATTTCATGCCTTTTCATGGCTAAATAATTAGACAGCGGGAATGTGACTTGACTCAGACCAGACTTGAACTTAAATGACTTTGGTTCTGAAATTTGGCAGGCATTCAATGTTAGCACTGTGCCATGGCTCTGATACAAATAGCACAGCACTGCATGTGATTTAAGCGTGATCATACCGACTGAAGGAATAGTGTCCACCACAGAGCCTCTCTTCCTCTTTTTGGGTAATTTGGTTTTGCATAGAGCCTCAAAGTGGGTCTGCATGGAGGCATCCATTGCCAAGAAGTTACACTGCAGGAAGCCGCTGAGAGTGGTGGCAGCCATCTCTCTCACCTAAGGCACAGAGATGAAGGTTTAATGAACAAGGCTGCATAAAAGTGAATAAATGATGATGCCAGGATGCCAGTGTGGCCTGAAAGCTACCTCCAGCTGCTCATCCTCCAGTAGCCTGATGACCAGTGCTCTCACATCCTGAACAGCCTGCTCATTGCTCAGTATGGTGAACAGATTATAGAACACCATTGTCTGGAGGTATGTTAGCACTGAGAATCGTGCATGCCAAGAGCTGCTGCCAGCAATCTGAAAAAATAAGAATCTTATGATTGCACAGCAAATATAGTACTCACTAGGACTGGGTAATAATGGTAAATAAAAAAAGTCTATACATGTATATATTGACATGTTAAGCATGTGGGATATTACTGTATGTAATACTAAACATATATTTGGATGACTATTTGCTAGTCCAATTATGCCTGATTTCAGCAGAAGATTAGATTTAAATAAGTACACCATTTTACGGGATATGCACTTTTTAAATGTCTAGTGAATGCAATCATTGATGATACTAACATATTACAATATTACAACAATAGACAGTAATATAATTAAATGATAAAATCATGAAATAGTAATGTGCAGCATTTGAAATGCCTATGTAGTATATAATCAGTGTCACTTATGACATACTCATTCAGTGAAAATGTGTTGAAAAACAATTCTGTGTTTTCAGCAAAGCAGAATTAGGAATATTTCTATGCTGGTGTCACCATTGAAATCAAAACCAGAACCACGATTTGAGTAATTATTTATAAAAGTATTTACAGCTAATTGTACTCTGCACTAATCACTGTCACTACATCATGATTATTGGTGGGTTATCAATCTGCATTTTGATTATTTATTACTATTTGAATTGTATTTAAATTAGCTTTTATTTTTTATTTTCAGTTTTAATTTGAGTAAATCAGTTATGTGCTTTTGTCATTTTATTAGTTGTTTTAATATATTTCTATACAGCTTTAATTTATTATTTCTTCAGTTTTATTTTCAATCATTTTAATACTTCAACTGCAATTTATTTCAGGTAGTTAATAAGGTAATATTTCTAATATTTCTTATTTTCATCAATGTTTTTTATTTTATTTCAATTACTGGCAACGGTTTTTAATAGTTTTAGTTTCATTTACCACCAAAGTTTTTAAATAAAAAAATTAGTCAAGATTAAATTCATCTTTCAAACTGTTGTCCTGATATGTGGGGTCGTGTCTAGCGTGTCTGAGGCCTCACCTCATGTAGCACCTTCAGTACCATAGGGATCTGCTCAGGATAGAGGAGACCTTGAGACATGAGGGACAGGCAAGTCTTTGCGTCCCTCTTCAGCTCATCATAGCTGTCATCATTTTCTACGGGAGCGATCTACAGATGGAGAGAAACAGGCACTGAGTGGAAGTCAGCAATCCACTTAAGAGCACTCCACACAAATGTATAAAGAATGAGACACAAAGAGCATACGCGCTAAGATAGAGAGAGAGAGCGAGCAAGCAAGACCTTAAAGAGCAGGGGCAGCAGCTGTAGCTGCTGAGGTACTGGAGTAGAGAAGGAGCGCCCCGCACTGGCCATCAGCCACTTCAGAACAGTTTTGAGGAGTTTGATGGCCTGGGTTCTCTCATCCTGCACCCCCACTCCGTTCTCCTCCACCACGTGGTTCTGGATCTCCTCGTCACCCTCAATCAGGGGCTTCAGCTGAGACAAGATCCTTTCAGTAAACTCAGCAATGTGTGGTGACTTAGTAGGCAGAGTGTATGGCAGGTTAACATCAATCATGAAAATGTACGTCAGCACACTGCAAGAGAAGACACGACAAGACAGAAAACATGACAAGAGAGAACTGTCGGTGTATTTTTAGACTACAGTGAGCGTTTTGACCCCGACTGCACACATACCTGCCGATGCGCTCTCTTACATTCTTATAAACCTGAGTGAGTTTGGGCTCCAGATAACTCAGCAATCTGTGTAGCAGCTCTGGGACCCTCCATTCCTGCTGTGCCAGACCACCCTGCAGCACGTACAGGTGGCTACAGAGATAGAAAGAAATGATTAATCTCTCAAATATCAAAAATGCATCCAAGTCTGAATGGTTTCAGAATTAAAAGTAAAGTAGTTAAAAGAAGTAAAACACAAAATACACTCACCAGGCATCTACAAACGATCCACCTTCCCCACTGAGAGGACACTCCATCAGCATCTCGAGAAGCCAGTGGAGCTTTCGTGGATCTCGGCTCTCCTGAAAATATCAAACATAAACAGTTAGTTGTTCTCATGGCTTCACATACTGCCCAAAAGCTTTTAATATTTTTGATAGAAGTCTCTTATGCTCAACACAGAAAACAGAAACAGTAATAGTGAAATATTATAGCAATTTAAAAATAAGGGTTTTCTTTTTTATATATATATTTAAAATATTTTTTTATTCCTTTGATGGCAAAGCTGAATTTCCAACCATTACTCCAGTATTCAGTGACACATCATTCTTCAGAAATCATTCTAATTTGATAAGAAGAAATGTTTCTTGAGTACTAATGTTGCTGTGCTGCTTAATGTTTTGCGTAAATATTTTTTTCAGGATGTTTTGATAAATCTAAAGTTACAAGAACAGAATTTGAACAATTTGACTTGTACAGCAACGTAGAAGTTTTTAGTCACTTTTGACTCATTTTATTTAACCTTGCTGAATAAAATAGGTTTTAAAAAATGTTAGAATGTCAGAAAATGCATTGTGGTACTGTCATGAATGCGCGTCAAAGACTGACACGGAAGAAAAGAAATAGTTGAATAAAGTCCTTATTTTTGTTTATACAAAAAGTATTCTCATAGCTTCATAAAATTAAGGTGGAACCACTGATGTCACATGGAATATTTTAAAGTAATTACTATCTTTCAGGGCCTTGAACGTGGTGGTTTCCTTGCTGTCTATGCAGGGTCAGAAAGCTCTCGGATTTCCTCAAAAATATCGTAATTTGTGTTCCAAAGATTAACAAAGGTCTTACAGGTTTGGAACAACATGAGGGTGAGTAATCAATGGCAGAATTTTAATTTTTGGGTGAACTATCCGTTTAAATATTAATTTGGATATTTTAAATAATATAATATACACACACATTTAAAGTCCATTTATAATGTTTTCATGACCATTTACTGTTGGCTGCTAGTAGACATTCAGGCGGTGGATTATGTGGCATACAATTTAACAGAGTAAGGATCTATAACATACACAGGCAGTTGCCACACAGGTACCCCAGTCAGCATAGGTCTCGATAGTAATATTGGACAGTGCTGTGCGCATCAAAGGAATCAGGAATTTCCATAATGCCTCCACCTGTGTGAAAGAAAGAGGGGGTTCAGACATCAATGTTGTTAAACATCTCAGCAGCTCCCTAATTTTAATTGTATCCCTCATGCCAGCAGCGGTGCTCACCTTGCTGAAGCTCCAGTGCTTGCTGCCTCTAACCAGTCCTGCAATGATCTCAGCCACACAGCGCTGGGTGCTCTCGTGAGAGTCATTTGCCAGCCGCTCCATATGAGGCTTTAGAACAGGCAGGAAGGCATCACTGTAGTTCCGGAAGAGTCCCTGTGGGCATTGAATGAGAAAGCAAGACATCTGTATTTTGTAATAAATTCGTATGGCAGGTGAGCAAGGCAGGTTTATGAGCTGGTTAAAATGCAGAGATTTGCAGAGGTAGATGTGGCTGGGAGCACAATTGTATTTGCTGCTCTCCACAAATCATTTATTGAATACGTCCTCACAATCTGTGCAATCTCTCGGTTTGGGAATTACAGCTGGGGAAACTGCAACTAAACTGCTGGAATCAGTGAACATAAACAGGATGATAATGATACAAGAAATGCTACTTTTTAAAGGTTTTCTCTCTGCTGAGAACCCAAAAATAGAAGTCAGGGGAATTATGTGGCGATTGAACATATCTTAATGTCCTCTCTGCATCTGAGAGTTTTGTATGCAGCCTGGTGCAGAGGACACTGTAAGCAAATGTCCAGGACAAACAGTGGCTTGTTAACAAGATGCACAGGAACATCTAAAAATATTTCTATAGATTACATTCAAGGCTATTCAACATGCTTTCAACGATAGCCAAGTATGATACACATCGTGATACATGAGCCCCAATTCAATACACTGCAACGCATCACAATATAACTGAACTGCAAATGAAATGGCATCAAACAAGTGAATCTAAGCTTATTAAATCTCCATCCCGTTTACTTTACTTTTGTCCAAAAATTGTGCAGTTTGTATAGGCACAGCATTAGTTCTAACTAGGGGTGTGCGATGTTGACAAAAAATATAATCTCAATATTTTCTGGGATTTTATCGATAACGATAATTAGACGATATTTTGCTGAGTGTGTTATTGTGCTGGTACCTTAAAGACTGCCGTGGATAGCTGACTCCTAAAGTTTTTGATATTCTTCATATTCAGTGTAGTGGCCAGACAGAAATTAATCTTTTCCAAAAAGTTTAAATTGATTTTTACATTTTACATTTTTACCTTTATAAAGCCATTTTTTTCTAAAAGTGTCCATTATCTTTTGAATCAAATTCTTACATTTAATCAGTGAATTAGAATAAGACATTTGGACTGTTACCAAGCAAATGAAATCCGTATCAACTAGGGATGTCAACGATTAATCGATGATCGATTAATTGTCGATAAGAGATGCAATCGATTAAAGCTATGGATGGTTGATTAAGTCGTTTAATTTTGGGCTGCATGCGGCTCATGCGCAAAACACATGCGAGCGGCTGTGAGTGACGGCGACTGTATATAAATGCATCATCATTCACTCATAATTACAAATTAAGCTTTTAATGTGATTTAAACTTCAAAAGTACATTAAAATAGAAACAACACAAAGTTCTTCAACATGGAAAGCAATAGAAATGTAGTAACAGTCATTTCCCCAGATAATTCTTTCATATCGGGCTCTGTGCTTTGCAGGGCAGGACACAGGACAGATAGGCTATTCATTCCTACAACTTGTTAATTCATTCCTACGACTTATAAATTTGTGGCCACTGTCCATGTTTCATTAATTTTGTTCCTTAAATAACCCATGATTTAACTAAAATGAGGGAACAAAAAAAATAAATCGAACAAATTCTTAATTCATGGCCATGAAATCTTTCATTTCCCTTTCGCATGTTTACCACAGTAAGAGATGCAAAAACAGTGATAAAAAGTGAATGACAATAAAATAAACCTG